CCTCTCCTAAGGAGAACTGTTCCAAAGCAGATCAAACCTGAATAGGAACAGCTCTCAGTCAATAATGGTTTGGGGAGTCAGGGAAGGGTCGGCCTCAGACAACTTTTTCCTCTTTTGATTTGTCCCACATACAAGCCCCCCAGCATGAAGTCTGAAAGAGAGTAGATGACTAGTTACCTTTAGTCACTTTACTTCCCCTGTCTCTGTTGAGTAGACACACTTGATGATGAATAATAAAGAACCAACACCATTAACCTCCAACCTAGTAAGCTCAGGCGCCTGAGGGGAAAAGTCCATTGCGTACTGGGGAAGCATTTTAATCTGAATGACTCTTGGTGAATTTTATTCAATAATAGCAATGAACACATATGTGCCTTTGGGAAGTCCTTTTATTACTTCCTAATTTAATTTAGATTGTACCCAGGTGATATGAAAATTGAGTTCTTTGTATTGGAAAATAAGGGGGGAAGTTTCCTTCTGAACAGAAGTGATCAAGTGGTATGTCTGACAATGGACCTTTGGGGCTCTAAGATATTTATTTTTAATTTGGCTTGGTTTGTGGGTCACACCCAGTGGTACTTGGGTTACCCCTGGTTCTGACTGGTTTGTGACTCCCTGTGGTGCTCAGAGCTCTATGCATGGCCAGAGATCAAAACAATCCCCCTAGACTCTAAGTTTTCTGTGGTTTCTTGACACTTTGTTGACGTTTCATTGATATAAATGTTCTTCCTTTTAATAAAAACATGTGGGGCTGGAGCGATAGCACAGCAGGTAGGATGTTTGCTTTGCACACGGCTGACCAGGGTTCGATTCCTAACATCCCATACAGTACCCCAAGCACCACCAGGAGTAATTCCTCAGTGCATGAGCCAGGAGTAACCACTGTGCAATGCCAAGTGTGACCCAAAAAGCAAAATAAATTAATTAAATAATTAATTAAAATAAAGATATGCAAGTTCAACACTACAAGAAAAATACTTTAGGCTGCTAAAAATTTCTTGAGGGAACTTGGGAAATTAAGTTTGTCGACAGGGCTGAAGGAAAAAAGAGCTGAGAGATTTCTCATGGGAGAAAAAAACTTGGTGGGGCGGGGAAGGAGGTGTCCGGAGAGATAAGTATTGGAGTTAAAGCACTTGCATTGCCTGTGGCCAATTCAATTCAATTCCAGCACCACCTGGTTCCATGAGCATCGCAGGAGTGATCCCCAAACACAGAGCCCAAGAAGGCTCAAAGGGCTAGTGGGATGTGGGAGGCCAGGCTTGGTCCCCAGTACCTCCATGAGGATCAGTCCATCAGCTTTCCAACAGTGGAGAACACTGGAGAGTGAGTCACAGAACTCTAACCAAAAAAGAATTCACGGGAAATGAGGCAGACTTCTGTCAAACCATGTCCTTCCCTGAAGTACCTCTAAGTACTTCAGGGAATGAAAAGCAAACAACCCTCCAAGACCTTTACTACAATTCATTTCATTGCTAGACTTTAGGAGGAAGTGGACTTGGTTTGACTGAAGCCTACTTCATTTTCCCTGAATTCTTTTCTTGTTATTCATTATGATCATTTAACCTATTTCAACTAATAGTTCTGTGGCTTACTCTCCCATGTACTCCACAGTCGGAAAGCTGATGGACCGATACTCATATTTCAGAAATGTATTTAACAGACTTTTCAAAGACTAACATGTTAAAGTATAAGCTGTTTCATTTTCAAATCTCAAGTCTCAACTGAAATGGGCTCACAGATCCAGATGGGGTTCTGGATATTTTTCTTCATTTAAAGTAACTCTATAAATAGTCATTATCTTTCTGAGTTATTTATTCAAAAGAATACCGCAGAGATATCAAATACAAAGATGGATCATGGGGGGCTGGGGGTAATGTGTAAAAGGAATGTGCATGTAGAATAAAATGTTACATGCTGGGATGAGAGAAGTTGGTCTCATTCCATAGGTCGTATTCAGAACTGTGTAAGTGCTGGGATTTTATTTTACTACCACCTAAGAAAGTAAACTGTTACTGTTTATGATGCCGAGAGAAGACAAAAGACTCAATAATGGAAGAGCAAAAGCACTAGCCCATTGCACAGCCCTCTGGGGTAAGGCTCGGACCACTGGTGGCGGTACATGCAGCAGCTAATGTCCAAGGAGACAGAGATGAATCTGCAGCTTTCAAAACACGAGGATAACTGCTTCTCAGCCTTTTGGCTAAGATCAAGTGTAGTATCAAAACACAGGGATAAGGTATGACCTAATTCCTCTGGGGAGCATGCTCTGAGTTCCACCTGGACAAACTGCCCAGGTAAAGAGCAGGCAGCATCTCTCCTCCTCATCCTGCTCCCAAAGAGTTTATGGGATGCTTGGGTTACAGGAAATGGCCTCTCCAACAGCAAGTAGCTCTCCGCATTGTTCTTTTTATTGTTATTGTTCCTTTTAGTCACACCTGGCAATGCTCAGGAGTTACTCCTCGCTCTGCACTCAGGAGCATTACTCTGTGTGGAGTAGTACTCCTGGCCATTCTCAGGGACCATATGGGGGGATGTAACCTGGCTTAGCCATGTGCAAGTCACCCCAGCCGCTGTACTATCTCTCCAGCCCCTCCCTCTCCACATGGTTTTCATACTACGAGATGTACTCCTCTAAAGGATCAGAAACTCTGCCTATGGTCTAGAAGTTTTCTGCAGGACTGTGGGGGGGGGGTGTCGCTCTGGAGAGGAGCACTGGAATCCTGTGCCCTTTGCAAAATTCATCAGGTGATTTGGATCCAGCCAACTCACCAGCCTAGGTACTGGGAGTCAGGAGGTGGTTTGGTTTGGTTTGGTTTGGTTTGGTTTGGTTTGGTTTGGTTTGGTTTGTGGGGAGGGGAATACCACGATTTGATTTTATTTTTAAGAAGGAAAATTCCAGGCATTATGTGGAGATTGACTAGAAGCGTGGGTCAGCCTGGAGACATAGTTCAGGAGGCTGTTATGGTAACCCGGGTAGGTGACCGGCTAGGTAGGTTCGGATTGAATGCAGATGTTGATACAAATTGGACCAAGAAAGACAGTAGGGGGTAGCAGGAGGGAACAGGAGGGACAGGAAACTGCTAAAGCTTGAGCCAGTGCTTAGAAAAATTAGGAGGGTACATTTGAGTATGGGCAGATTTGAGTTCTGATTTAAAAAAAATGGAATCTAAATCCAATTTGTAGTGGAGGGAACAGAGTGATAATATAGCACATAGGGCACTTTCTTTGCACACAGGTAACCCAGGTTTGATCCCTGGCACTCCATATGGACTCTGAGCCCTGGCAGGAGTGATCCCTGAGCACAGACCCAGGAGTCAGCCCTGAGCACCGCCAGATGTGGCTCAAACGCCAAACCAAGACAAAACAAGTTGTATTTGAAAGGTTTACTAAATTCAGAGACTATAGGCTGAGCATAACTCAGAAAACAGAAACAGGCATGTGGGCAGCTTAGGATCCAATGATGGAATCAGTCTCCAGTTAACTTAAGAGCAGTGAGAATAAGCCACACCTCAGCTAGGTATTCTCAATTAGTGTCTCACGCACACATACAAGTAATCAACACTGAGCACTATAATGCACAAGTCATTCCACCAGACACTTTAATTCATAGCATAAAAATCTTAATAAAAAATCTCAATATCCTTGAGATCACATAATATCCAGGAGGTTGATATTGTCTAAACTTCTCAGATGGTTGATCAATGCTCCCTGCACTTCATTCAAGCCAATAGTTTCAGCCTCCTCTCATTTGAATGCAAAATTTAAAACTAATTTTTTAAAGGGGCAATGTATTTAGTTTTATTCTTTTATTTCACTCTTCCAAATTGAAATTATCAGTTATATGTAAACAAAACATAATTAAGAAGCCAGAGTCTGGGTAATTTGTGGATGATAAGTGAGAAATAAACTATCATTGGCCAAAAGCATCATCTTTGGTAGCATTTCAGATTATTTTGTACAAAACTGACAATAAATGGATAAAGAAGCTGTGGTCTATATAAATACAAGACAAGATGAGATCTTGCAGTTTACTGCAATGTGGAGGGCAAGATGCTAAGTGAAATAAGTCAGAGGGAGAAGAACAAATATCATATGCTCTCACTGATTTGTGGCATACAAAGAAATAAAACAAGGGAATAAACAATGTCAAAAGATAACAGAACCAGGGCCGGAGCAATAGGACAGTGGGTTGGGCGTTAGCCTTACACACAGCCGACCAGAGTTCTAGTCCCAGTATCCTATAAGGTCCTCCAAGCACTGGCCAGAGTAATTCCTGAGTACAAAGCCAGTAGCAACTCGTGAGCATCACTGGGTATGACTCAAAAAGAAAAAAAAAAGAAAAGATAATAGACCCTTGGCCTTGAATTATAAAACTGAGAATACAAATGAACATTGGTAAAAAGTTGGAGGAGAATGAAGAGTTGAGCTAGAAGTGATATAAGGACATTGGTAGAGGGTCTTGCATACTTTGGTGGTGGTGAGGTGTGGTACCTGCATACCACCAAACCATAAACATTAACACTACTATAACCACTGTGGTACTGTAGCACTGCCCTCCCGTTGTTTATCGAATTGCCCAAGCGGGCCCAGAAATGTCTCCATTGTGAGGCTTGTTGTTACTGTGTTTGGCATATCAAATACATCATGGGTACCTTACCAGGCTTTGCCATGCAGGCGAGATACTCTGGGTAGCTTGCTGTGCTCTCCGAGAGGGGCATAGGAATTGAACTCAGGTCGGCCAAGTTGGCCGCATGCAAGGCAAATGCCCTACCGCTGTGCTATCGCTCCAGGCCTACTACTATAACCATGTTTTAATTATAACCTCAAGTACAATAGTCCAAAAATAATTAAAGTTGACGTCCAAGCATTACTTTGTATCTATCTACTTTGCCACAAACAGTTACTCCAGATACACCTGTGAGTAAGCAAGAGAAAAAGGGACATCTGTAAGCACAGACGAGGTTCTTCCCTGCGTCTACTGAGCGCCATCTTGCTCTTACCTGGTTGCAGGTGTTGATATCGATGCCTCCTTTCAGATACTCGACCACTTTGTCCAGGTTGCCAGCTCGAGCAGCACGGAGGAAGCTGGCATTGCTGTCAGACTGTGAGCAAAAGAAAGGGTCTTGGGTGAGTCATTGAAAAATTAAGAGCGGAAATCAAAAAGACTCCAACGTGTAGAGCACAAGTCAACAAAGGTTCAGGCACAAAATGTTCCAATGCTCAGTTTGACACCCCAAGGAATAGTTCACAGAAAAGGGAGCAGCGGCAGTTTGTGGACATTGTTTAAGGACATCAAAGTCAACCAAAGGGAGAGTATAGGCAGTAAGGCACTCGCCTCACATATGGCAGAAGCTGGTTTGATTTCCAGCACTGCATTTGTTCCCCCAAACCCCACTGGAATGATCCCTGAGCCAGGAGGAAGCCCCAAGCACCACCAGGTGTGGCCCAAACCTTCCCTCAAATAAATAAATAATGATACATCACAGTCCGGTTCTCCTCGTCCTTTTCTCCCTCTCCCTGCTCCACACCCTTCTGGGTGAAGCCCCCATCTCCTGTGTGCTCAGCCCACAGCTAAGGCCCCTTGGGTGCTTATTCTGTGGTACAGTGGGGACTCCACTGTCACTTGTCCCGTAGCATCCCAAGTAAAGACTCAGCTGTTTGCCACAGATTCGAAATCCCAGCAAGATTCCCAGCTCCAATGCGCTTTCCATGTCATTTACAAGGGAAAGGTAATGGGCACGCTACCACTTGTCAAGTCAGTATTGCACGCACAGCACAACTCACTATGAAACAACAAAAATTTTATGATATTAAGTCCCATTAGAAATGATCACTCTGGACGAGAACTGAGCGAGTGTTGAAAGTAGGTAAAGGGAGATAAAGGATAACCTTTCAGTATTTGTATTGCAAACTGTAAGGCAGAGAGAGAGAGAGAGAGAAAGAGAGAGAGAGAAAGACAAAGCAAAAAAGTGCCTGCCACAGAGGCAGGTGGGGAGGGGGAAAGAGGGAAACTGAAGACATCGGTGGTAGGAAATGTACATTGGTGAAGAGATGGGTGTTGGAACATTATAGAACTGAAACCCAATCATGAACAACCTTGTAGCTGTGTATCTCAGTGATTCAATAGAAAAATTAAAATTAATAAATACTAGGTCCCCAAAGGACAATGATGTCCTTTCCCCTATGTACTTAAAAATGTATGTAAAATCTAGGGTCAATGGGGATGTGTTTTAGCAGTAGGGCACTTGCCTTGCATGTGTGAAGTCCTGGTTTCAATTCTTGAACACACACACACACACACACACACACACACACACACACCCCTATGTGTTATATATATCCCATTCGTGGTTGTGCCTAGACAGTTCTTCCAATTGGAACACGGGACCGTATACCTTACGTGACATTTATTAGAGTCTAAAAGTAGGACCCGCCCCATAGCCAAGAAGTCATGTGCCTTCAGTCAGTCATACCCACAGTGGTACTCTCAAGAAGGAACTATTCTTAGGCTCAATTCATAGGTGATGAAAGAGCTTAGAAAGTTCCCAAAGTCACACAGTTCTTTGTTGGACGATCGCATGTCTAGCCTCTGCTGACCCATGATGGAGGGTCTCACATGCTGGTCTAGTTCACCCCTCCAAAGCAGCAGCGGAGCAGTAGTGACTATGAATTCCTCCCTCTGGGCGCTGAGATGACTTCTTTTGTGATAACCAAGGTTATGCCCTTGTCTACACAGCCACAGAAGTCAAGGGCACTTGCAAAGCAGCATGCGCCTGCCCGAAAGAGAGTTCTTGGCTGGCATCCCTCTCCTCCTATCTACCAGGAGAAACAATGAAGAGGCTGGAAACACAGTTGCTTGGGAATTAGGAAGAAGGAGCCAAACCCAGGCTGCTTTTAAAAACAAACACACAGAAATACTTGACACCCTCCCTGCAAGAGTCTCCCTGCAAGAGTTTCAGGAGCTCAGACAAATTGCCGTATCATTCTTGGGTTTTTGTTTGTTTGTTTGTTTGAAAAAGGATTCCAGACTGAAGAAATAATACAGCAGTTAAGGTGTTTGCCTTTCACACGGCTGATCAGGGTTCAATTCGCGACACCACAGATAGGGCGGGTACCCATAGGAGTGATCCCTAAGCACAGAGCCAGGAGTTAGCCCTGAGCACTTCCAGCTATGGTTTGTCTCCCAGTAAAAGAATTCCAGGAGTAGGGGAAGCGAGAAATAGCCTCTGATCCAGCAGGGATGAAGAGGCCCCTGGAAAGAAGTCTAGAAATTCACTGGGGAGATGCTAGTCTGAGGGTGGCAACAGGTGTCACTGAATGCCTAGAACGTTCTCTAGGGACAGGGCATGACAAGGACTGCCTTTGTGGTGACACAGTATCAAGTTTTCCTAACTGGTTTTCTTTCTTGATTCCAGCTTCTACAAAGTAGACACACGTGCAAGACTTATGGTTCATCTATGATATTTTAGCCACCCCCCCCAAAAAAAAAGTCCCCAGTGATCTGGATGGCAATGAAAATGTTATGTAGGGGCAACCCTGCCCAGGAACTTTACTCACCACTGAGTCTGGGTAGGCTTTGCTAAAATCTGGACGCTTCCAGAAATTCAGCTTTGCCAAAGTGAGAAAACGCATGTATGGGAAAGTGTTGTTTTGATCAATGCTGAGGATTTCAAGCACAGAATTAAGAGAAGAATCAAGAATTAAGAGGAGAGGAGGCAGAGAGATAGTACAGCATGGTAGAGCACCTGTCTTATTAACCACAATCAACTAGGGTTTAATTTCCGGTACCCCATATGGTGCCCTGAGCACTGCCAGAAGTGATCACTGAGTGCAGAGCCAGGAGCATAGCCAGGTACGACCCCAAAAACAAAAAGCAATAACAATGACCAAAAAAATGAATTAAGAGGAGAGGTGAAAATGTACATACAGAAATGGCCGTTATTGGAGGTCCAAAGCACCTTCCTGCACAGAAATACATATTCCTCTCTGCTTCCAGGTAGACTCAGCAGATACACCCCACAATGAGGTCAATCTGTGATTACTGCTCTGACGCCAGAGCTTAGCATAAACCAAAGGCAGTAGTGTTACTTTCAGTCAACACAGAGATGAAAGATTGTGAGATGCATGGGACATCTCAAGAAGGTTTCTATATCGTTTTTTTTCTCTGAGTACAAATACCCCTCAACCTTCACAGAAGCAGGGCAGAAAGCTGACTCTCCCAATTCACTGTGCTCTTTTTCCTCACTCAACCAGGAGAATCTGATACAAAAGCCCAGTGAAGAGAAAAGGAGGCTTGGGGAAGAGCTGCTGACAAATCTCCGAGGAACAGCTTTCTGCTTTCTGTCCTGAGGGCTCTCAAATCCTAAACTCAACTGTGAAGTCTATCTCTGGACAAGGGCAACATGAAGTTCCACTTATTTTAATCTGCCACAGATTAAAATGCATTAAAATGCAACCCCCCTTCTCACCACACCAAGAACAGAAGTTTCCTCTGAAAGGCTTCACCACACGTTTCAATACAATTTTTCTTTTTTTCATCTGAAAGTTATAAAAACAGGATACTTGCAACCCAGTGGGGTGGCCATGAAAGGCCAAAAGGGATGTGATTTCCCAGAGCAGATTTTATCCTACAGGACGGCCTCCTCAGGGGGTCCTGAGTTGGCTGCAGTACTTGAAAGCATTTCCTGCTTCCGACTCAATAATAACCTTGTCAGAGAAACACTGGCACACCCCCCAAGTAGCAAACTGGTGACTCTTGAACTCAGGGCAGCTATGGCATCCTAGGAGTTGCCTTTGTGTTTGCAATTTTAGGGCTTAGCAAGTCCGGCGCAGATGGTACAAGAGGCAGGACATGGAAGTATGGTGGGTGTGCGAGAGTGGATCGCAGTACTGGATGGGGGGTGAGGAGATGGGGGGGTCACATGGGGCAGATGTCTGAGCCCAGGGACCCGAGCCGGCAGCCAGGACTCCAGTTTGCTGCAGATCAACATACGCTTCGGGTGTTGACCTTCTGTGGTCCGGCTCCCACTGGTCATTAGCGGTGCGTGTAACAGAAAATTCCCAGTGAAACATTCTCTGGCTTCCAATCTCAGCTTTGATTGCATTAAGTGCACATCTCTACACGCCCTGTTCATCTCCAAGGGATGAGAGCTTTATGCAATGACCAAAGAGCATGCCCTTAAAACCGGCATTTGCAAGCGTCTCTGTCAGCTTAGATTGATTCTACTGATGTAGGACTCAAACTCTTATTAATACTGATTTGAAGGAGGTGGTCCAGGGTTCTGGGTTCAATTCCCAGTAACTCCAGATGGTAGGTTGAGAATTATTTGTGGAAATCCCAGGCTCTGTTTGAGTAGCCCCCAGCTCCCAAAATGGTGATTTTTTTTTTACAACATGCATGCATACCCCCAAAGCTCCTGTTTCTCTTGTTTCTACTGAATTCACATTCAGGAGAACATTCTAGAAACCTGAGATGAAGTCTTTCTACTGCTCAACTAAATCTGTGGTGGTGGAGTTTTTAACCAATTCTATTCATTCTCTTCAAACTGGGGCTATTTCTTTAAAAACTACTAGTTTTGTGTGTTTGAGCTTACTGTGAAAAACGTTCTTTTCAGTTATGGCCTAAGATTTTTCCTTTTCCAAGTCTTATTCATCTACTTATTTTTTTATATGTGGAGGGGGAGCGGGGCTCACACCCAGCTGTGCTTGGGGTCTACCTCCCTCTGAGGTCAGGGTTCACTCATAGCTGACCTTTGGGGAAGCCATACAATAGCAGATCAAGTCCAAGACTCTGCTTGCATTGTAGCCTTTGATGTGTGTTTCACATGCAAACTAACACTGTAAAAAATAGTAAAAAAATAAAAATACTTTAGCACATGAATTGCTTGATCATTTAACAGGAACATTTTCCAAGAGTGATCCAGCCTCCCCAGTATCCCGGTCACATCTCAGAGTTGGGCTAGCATTGGACTTTTCACAAATATTTGCAGACTGATGAACCTTAAGTAAGAAGCACACAATCCTCCTGAATTTGAGGCATTTGTGTATTTTCTTAAAAGGCAGTACCCTCTACCCCCCACTTTGTACAAATAAACCTATTTAC